AAAAAAAAAATACATGGGAGAAACTTTTATTACGAATATAGGGAGGATTTTTTTTATTATTATTTTTTGTAATAATGGAAAAGGGATAAATTATTCAAAACAATTGTCAGACTTATTTTGAAGAAATTCTTCATTTTAGGAAAGAGAATTGGACTTTTCTAAGATCAATAAGCCAAATATTAGTGTAGTTTTTATAATTATCGCATCGCTAAATTGAATGATTTGTTTTATATATCACCTTTTGCTCCCACATGCTCCACAAAGATGTAAATCCCACCAGGCTTAAGCACCCTCCTAATTTCTGTACAAGAAATTCAAAAAATTAGCCTTGCAGAACAAAAGAATTCTTAGAACACGCGATCTCTGTATATAGTTGAAAGCAAAACAATAATTGCCTTATACATTAATTTTATTTGAATGCTCGGTTGTTAAAGCAGAATCTTTGTTTACAATGCATACAAAATTGTGAAATATTCTTGAAGCAATATGATGCTCACTGCAACTGACAAACTGGATCGCACATATAGTTCATATTGCTGGTAGCATTAGATAAAATTCCAGAAGGCTCGGGTTATTGTGTCCAGAGAGTGTAACGAACTAATCCGTTCTTAATGATACTCACCCCAACAATAGGCTTTTAATGAGTAAGGACTGTCGGCATAACTCGTGTCCATTGTAACAAAACCAAAAAGCAGTTGAAAAGAGAGTATGCAATGAATAAGTTGAAGAGGTCTTAAGCTAAAAGTTGCATTAGTTGAAAGAGAGTGTAAGATGAATAAGTTGTAGAAGTGCTAATTTTGCTTACAAATCATGCAAAGCTAACAAAAAGGCTACTGCTCTTCTTCTAATTTTCTCTACATATAGTCTCGTTATATAAAACTTAAACTCGAAACTAGAACAATTTCTCCGCTTTCTTTCTGGCTCCGCAATGGCAGATCATAACAAGGATAAAAATTGTAATTCTCCATCCCTCACAATGAATTTCAAGGATTCAAAGTTTCAAACAACTGTTTAATATCAAGTCATAATATAATGCCTCTATTATGGAATAGCACTGCACTTCTATGATGAAGGGGAGAAAAATCAAGGTAAGAAATAGGGTTTTGACTAAAAAACAACCGCTTCTAATCACACTTTGGTGAATGCAATTGGGTTTCACATCAAATAAAATATACACATATTAGTCTCCAAAATAAACACTGTGAACTCATACAGGATGGAAAAATCCAACTTCCTCTAAGTTTGTCGTTTTGTCCACCACGTCAAGATTTTTTCATTGACGGGGGATTCTTCATTGATGTCGCTAATATTACTTGTGTTTTAAAAAAAAATCAAAATACAAGTAATGTGCTTTTAAGATAATACCGGTAAGCATCCTGTGCGATGCAAGGGTGGTTTTGTACCTTAAAACATTTTTTTTTTAAATTTTATTTTGCCATTATATTAGTCCGTTGACCCGTTTATAATAATAATAATAATAATAATAATAATAATAATAATAATAATAATAATAATAATAATAATAATAATATTTCAACACATTTATGTAATTTTTTATGCAAAAAATAATAATAATAATTTTACTTATTTTTGTTCATCATAGTACTGAAATATTAATTTATTCTAGAATTTATTGTCATATAATGTAATTATTAATATTTATAACACTTATAAAAGTAATATTCTTTTTTATATATATTGGAGTCGGAAAGACTGGTCGAGCAAGGAGTGGAATTCTCTGTCTCCGTCTCGCATATTCTAACCTTTAGCTGGCTCATACTTTCTTTCCCTGGTCGCTGGATAAATATTTATTGTACAAATATTATTTATTTATTGGGTCTTGGAGGGGAAGGGTTCGCGACTTCTTCTTCGTCTTGGTAGCGGCGGTTGTGCTTAGCGACGGGAAATACGAATGGAATAATGTTCAATGAAGAAAATATATGGAACTTAAGATAAAGATGGAATACCCCAAACAATCTGCAGTCAATCATTTCCTTAGATATTTGAATTTATATTTTTTACCGAAATTTTCAAAAAATATGCTTGGGCGGGATTTCCAAAAAATTTCAAAAAAAATTACTATATTTAGTAAATTATTAGATGAGAATCCTAATTATTTTTAATTACTATTTCAGAATTTTTTGGGTTGTCACTGTATATAATAATAGATAAATTTTATCACTTGAAATTTGAATTTACAAAACACAAAAAAAAAAAAAAGTTGTATTATTAAAAAAATCAAAATATAAGTAATGTGTTTCTAAGATAGTATTTATTTTAAGAAAAATCAAACTCAGGTAATAAACTTAACTTTGTGTCCAACAACTCACAAATTTCAAAATTCAAGTGATACAACTAAGTTGGTATCCAAGTACTCTTTTTCCAACCAATCACTATTCTTTCATTACTTTTCTCTAAAATTTTACATTTTTCTCATGACTCTTTGCTTAATGTTACTATTTCCCATTATAAATTCCTATTTTGATTCACTGTAGAATCTTGATGTGATGGCAAATAAAAAAAAAAAAAAATAGCTTATGATGACATTTTTCCATTCTGCATATTTTCACAACGTTTATTTTGTTATTTTGGAGATTAATTTGTTAAGATTTTGATTCACATGCTTCTTTCTTTCTGTATGATTCTACTATGCTACTTTAGAGCATCTTCAATGCAAAGGTGTATAATGTATTGGTACTTACATACCTATGTGGCAAACCAATAGACCATGTCCGTGACACAACGAGAATAAATCGACTGCATTATAACTCAACTGCACAATATTTAAAAAGGAAGAAAGTTGAACTGAAATATATACAGTATTTATTATGTAAGTGGTGCTCTACTTTGAGGTGCTAAGCGAACTTCTCATGAGTTTATTCTTTGTCACAAATTATTAAAAAATAATTGCATTGGAGAAACATTTTTTTTGAAACAAATTCATTCTGGCATGGACATCTTAACAAATACACCATTCCACTAAAGATGCCCTTAGCATTGCCACCAAAAAACTTGTGAGAGATCGGAAGTTATTCTGGGTAAGCTGTTTTCGAGTCCAAGCCCTAGTTTTTCACCCTAATTTTCGTAAGCCCCTTTTCAACCAAAAACCTAATTTTTTACCCTAATTTTTCTCTGTTCCTTACAAAATTTAAATGCTCATGCTTTACATTAAAAATTAAGAACCCGCTGTTTGGATCATTAAAATTCACTGGAGAATTACAACCTGAATCCCTGTTCAGAACATTTGAGTCTGTGCATGAAAATGATCTGCCATTGCCGAGCCAGAAAAGAAAGCAGGGAAAGGGATCTACTTTTTGATATATAAAAAAGGACTTGGAGTTGGAAAACTGAATCAGCTAGAAATATACCTTGCAATGCCTGGTCAACATCATTTACAGAACAAAGGACGAGTGTTCCAACAACAACATCAACTGAAGCATCGTCTACGGGCAAAGCCTCCGCTACCTGCATTAGCAGAGAAAAAAAATGAAAAATGACAATTACTACAATATAAAAATATTTATTATTTTAATAATTATAATACAAAAAAGCTTGAGCGGTACTGAATAATAGTTCAAACAATCATGTTCCCGTACAAAGTACTACTAACCAATCCAAATATCTTCTTCAAGATAAATATTTCAAAGGACTGATACATCATGGAAATCAAGAAAGCTTAACACGATTACAAAGAGTGGAATTAGATACGTACACCTTGAATAAACTTAAAATTTGAAAGCATTAGTCCTGCATTTTCCACAGCTGCCTGCGCATATTTTTCCATCTTTCTATTCGGATCAACTCCAAAAACATTGACACCTGGATAATCCGCGTAGTATTTAAGGTTTGGACCAGTGCCGACACCAATCTCCAAAATATTGTCTGGCTTCCCTTTCAATTTAGCAAAAAGCTGCGACTTGTAAGCTGCAATCTTGTCCATCACACCAGTGCAAAATTTGAGATGACTTTTAGCTGTTGTATTATTCAGCACTATTATAAAAACAAAATAGGAAGAACCACTGACCTCTGCTTCATAAGGTTTTGTTAATTTGTCCATAGCTAATGCATAGAACTCCTCGTACCAATCAGGCCTCGGGGGACGAATTTTACTCAATGTTACCTAAATTGAACGAAACAAATAAATTTACTTAATTTTCGATCCTAGTATCATGCAATGACTGACATTGAAATGAAACATGATGTGAAACATTTTAGGTCTCAAGGCATGCAAATTTATAACTAGCAGGCTAAATGGCAAATTTATCACTGTATATAATGGTGGTTTTATCAATGGTCCTGCAAAAATCAGCATTCGCCAAAAAGCTCCATAGTTTCAAAAAGAATAAACAAAGAAAATCCCGATCTCATTCACTAGGTCAATCATTGGAAATTTTGCCGATGGAGTGCATAATTTTCTGCAAACCTGTTGATTTAGAAACCAACTTTGTTTACACGGGCATCCTACAAGAGTAATAAGTACATTCTTGGGACGTTTATTCGGGTAGATACTTTGGAAACTTGAAGCAATAGCAACATCCAACTCATTCTCAAAGTTAGAATCCTCCCAAAATTCAGAAAAAAAAAAAAAAAAAAAAAAAAAAAAAAAAAAAAAAAAAAAAAACTGTCTTATCATGCTTAACTAAATTCACCGAGAAGTACCAGGAGAGTGTCTGAACAACACCGACAACAAAATACTAAACAGAGCAGATAATTGTAAAAGCAGCAAATTTAGTCCCGTAATTTAGGATGTCGCTAAAACTGTCCTAAAAAATGCAGTATCTGCACAATAATCCTACGACTAAATAAGCATCTCCATTTGGATCGTACATTACATAATGGAAAACAGTCCTACTAAATAAAAATCTAAACTTTTGTCCCTCCCCCATTCAGACACTAAGAGCTCCATCGCTACGGACATGATTGAAACCAACAACCAGGTGAAATACTCACTTATACACTGTCTCCCCCATAGCTCCTACATGAAACGACAATACTTTTAAAGTAAATACTCATTTTAATAAAGTAAGAGGTCATACTTTTTCAAGAAATGTTAAACTATTAACTTTAAAAAGTGCTCAAGATCCTCACACCTTACACACTACGAATTTTTATATGTCGATTTTACGACTGCCTTAAAGTCACATGATCAATTTTTCAATTTTACCTGGGAACATCAGAAGAACCCTAATCACAGTACAATACTACAGAACTAAAGAAACAGCCATAAAACACTTATACTGATCGCAAACACTATATGAGAACACTGGATTTAGAAACCCCAGAATCCATACCATATCCTTTGGTGGGCTTTTCTCATCACCGGAGGCAAACGAGGGCAAAACAGGAAACAAACCGGTTCCCAACATCGACCCAAAGAGGTGTCTTCTCGGACAACACGAACAATGTCCACCGTTGCCCAACAAATCAGGGGGGTTTTTCCTTGATTTTGTCGAATTGCTGCATGAGACTGAGGGGATCGCCGATTTTAGGGTCGAATTTAGGGGTTTTGCAATTGTGGGTGTTTGTGTGGTATTGAGGTTGAAGGAGAAGCACGAGGACAAACTGGGAGAGGTGAAAGGCATTACGGAGGTTATGAGCTTCTTCAGGAATTACTGCTGTGCTGACTGCCGAGTGAGAAACAGCAGTCTTGACTTCTATTGAGAAGCTCCTCTATTTATCACGTGTAATGATGAAAAGACAAAACCATGCCACTTACAAGTCGGCCTCGCTTCTTCTTTTGAAGGTTCGGGGTGGAGGTTTTCGCCATCTACCGCCTTAACCCTCATGTCTCTGGTGTTGGGCGGAGGTGTTCGGCCGGCTAAATGGGGCCGGGGGCTGCGTTCTTGAGTCTGAGCCCGGTTGGTTGCTGGGTTGGGTGTGTTGTGGTATGGACCTCCAGGTGTGGGTCTCGGTTATCCGTTGGGGCGTAGTTCCGTTCCGTTGTTGTTTGACCCAGTTAGGCATTTGTTGGGCAGTTTCTGATTTGGATTCCTTGTCCGTGGCTTTGTCCGTGTTGATGGATGTCAGTTTGCGTCATTGTTGGTCGTCTTGGTTGAGCTGTTCTGCGGAGGGGTGGTGTAGTTTTTGTCTTTTGTTTTAGGTGTTTTGTTTTTTGTGTTGGTTGTTGTGTTTGTGTCTAGTTGTGTTTTCTTTTTCTTTCTCTCCCGTTGGGTGTGCGTTTCGTGTATTCTCCTGTTGGGAGTTTTTCGTTATTCTCCTGTTGGGAGCTTTTCGTTATTCTCCCGTTTGGAGCTTGTTAGTTTGTTGTGATGTGGGTGAGTTAGTGTAGTTGATTCTAGGCTACCTCCGGGTAGGCCTCCTGGATTCAGCTGTGTGACTGCTTGACTATTCTAGATGATGTCTAGTTGTAATTAATTAAGTGGTTTTATTTTCTATAAAATTCTATCATTTCGAAAAAAAAAATTGTACATGAGATGAGGTGGGGCTAAATAGCCCAATACACAATCAAATGTTTGAAAGAGAGAACATAAGCATGCTCTAGAGCAAAAAGTCTACATATAGTCAAGACCGCGATCCTTAGTTAATGCAAAGCTTAGTGCCCAAGGATATGCTCTTCACTATACAAAACATCAAAAGCAACTAGACCCCTAGCTCACACCCTAACCTAGTTGAACTACAACAGTCCAAAGTTCAAAATAAAACAACAACGCAGAAAATAAAAGAAAAACAACAGACTACAAACCACTACCAATCCAACTACTAAACTATCAAAAACAGCAAATAAGATAAAGGGTCAACTCAACTGGCCCTGCACCTTGTTGAATTCCAGCCAATCCTCCATTGCAATATTCACCACATCATTTTCTGATCTCCATAGGCTTTGAAATATCGACATATTCCTTGCTTTCCAAACACACCATAGCAAGTAAGCTGTGAGTTGAATCCTTGCTTCATTGTTTGTTGACTTAGGAAGAAAACACATATTTGTCCACCAATGAGAGAAGTTGTTTGCATGCTGACTAAGGCCATCCCAATGAATAGGAGCTAATTTCCAAATCTTAATGGCTTTAGGGCATGTGAAGAAAAGATGTTGGACTGTTTCTGAAATCTCTCCACAGACTTTGCATCTAGTATCAATGAGCACCCCTGTCTTAGCAAGGCATGTGTTGACTGGCAGGTGTTGACACACTTCCAAATGAAGTGCTTGATTTCCCCTTGACTGGCAGAAAGTCGACATTCTATAAATAACAAGTTCATACTACAATTCAAGTATATGTTTGAATCAAACTCATACAAACATAAAAACGCTCATAAACAAGAACTTCATTACCATTCGATAAACAAAAAAATACATTGTTATAGTAATATTATAATTCCTAATAAAATTGAACTTTAAATAAAAGAATTATTACAGTCTTAACTCAAATTGATATTTGAAAAATATAATTTAAAATTCATCATACGATTCTGTTATAATTTTTGCTATAGATAGAGAGATAATATAACAAAAGATATGTACAATTATGAATCACATGTAGAATTTCACACATAGAAAACTTCTTCGCTGATAGAAATTCTAAATTAATATACCAAATAATTTAATATTCCAATCATTTGGACTTATTTTATCATCATATCAGAATTTGACTTTACCCAAATTCAAAATTTAAATTTATCTACTTATCATTTGATTAATGAAAAAAAATACATTTTATGATAACATTATAATTCCCAATCAAATTGACATATGAAAAACATAATTAATATTAGAGTCCTTAACAATTTTATCTTTCAATAATATAATTCAAATATCATCCTACGATTCTGATAATAAATGTACAGTAATTTGTAAGTGGAAAAACAGCTCCGCCGAAACCCTTTTCCCCAATCTCCTCCGCCGAACTTCTCCTCAATCTTTTCGATCTGTGCCTCTCTTGGTGACGCCGCCGGCTTGCCGGTGAGCAGCTCTCAACCGCACACCCATGGCTTGCCCTGAGGTGCTCCTCCTCTCTCTTTGTTCGTGGTTCGGCTTGGGCGCTGATTCCTCTGATTTCTCGGTGGTTGTTCGTGCTCAGGCGGCGATCGCGGGTGGAGGGCTGTGAGGGGTGCGGCAGCGGCGATTGGGTGTGGCGTTTCCCCTCTTCTCATTTCCAGCTGGCTTCATCTCAGGCTCTGCCATTATTCGAGGGTGTCGTCGCTGTTCTTGGTCGCTGGCTTCTTTGTGGTGCGGTGGAGCTTGGCTATGGGGTGTCTAGGGGGAGGGCTGGGAGGTGCGCCTGTTGGTTACACCGGTGGTTTCATTGTGGCTGGGGCATTGTTGCCGTTCTTGTACCCTTCTCCCTGGATCTCTGGCGTTGAATCTATGGGAGGATCAGTGTTGCCGGATCTACGGCTAGTGGTGTTAGCTGGGTTCCGGTCGACGGCTGTGGTTTGTGGGTCGATTTCGGCTTCTTTCGGTTGGAGAGCGGGTCGACTGTTGGTGTTGTTTGTGGACTGGGACGTCGCCTTGCTAGGCTTCGGCAGTGGTGGGTGTAGTCCTCGTTCTTCGGACTTCCCCTTGAAGTCGGCTTCCGCCCACTGGTTTAGTCCGGTCTCTTCACTGAGGGAGGGCTCGTTTTAGCTTTTATTTTCTTATCTTTTGTTTTGTTGCTTTTTCTCTGTTTCGTTTGTGTCGTTGGAGTGTCTGTTGTTTAGGTTTGTGTTTTAGGTTTGGGTCATTGGCCTCTGTGCGTCCGAGTGTGAACTTATTATCCTGTTGGGATTTTACACTCGGGCATTATCCTGTTGGGGTCGTTCTTTAGGTATTGTGTTTTTTGTATTTTCTTTTTACCCTGTTGGGGTCGTCTTTGTGTGGCTAGGGTAATACCCTGTTAGGGCCGGTTCTAGGCGGTCTTTTGACCTGTCCTCTCATTTTAATTCAGCCGGTGAATGTGTTTTCAGCTGGTGGGTGTATATTTGCACATTTGTGCCTTTTATATGAAATTTCTATCTTCCAAAAAAAAAAAAAACGATTCTGATAATATTTATGGTATGGATAGAAACAGAATGTAACATATAATCATACAATTTGGAAACTTTTATGAACTTACCACACCGATAAAAATTATAAACAAATAATCAAATAATTTAATATTCAAATTATTTGGACATATCTTATGATCATATCGAATTGGAATTTACTCAAATTCATAATTTAAATTTATATTCTTATTATTTTTATTAATGAAAAAAATACATTTTATAATAACATTATAATTCTCAATGAAATTGACGTTTTAAAAATAGAATTAATATTAGAGTCTTTAATCAAATTTATCTTTGAATAATATAATTTAAATATTACCCTACGACTCTGATATAACTTCAGTTATGGACAGGGGCGGATCCAAAAATTTATTTTGAAGGAGGCTATATATTTTTTTTAATGATTTTAGATTTGAATTGATGTATATAAAACATAGAATGTTGTATTATAAAATTATATATAATAATAATAGTGCAATATGAATTATAAAGTTTCAAACATTGACAATAACAAATTTAGATTGAACGATCTCTCAACTCATATATTTCATTAATGATTGACGCAATACTAATATATAGTTTTGATATTTTTTTTCCATTAAGCATATTTTATATGAATATCTTCTTCAAGAATTACCAACTTTTATGTTTTCACATATTTTCCGCGCATTTAATTTATTTAAATTAGAAAAAATATTATACAAAAGTGTAAAAAGAGTATAATTTGTAGTTGAATTATTAGTAGAAAGTGTAATACATCAATTATTTTAATATAATTGTATGATTTTATGTGAAAATAATATATTTATCACATATATATATATAATACTAAAAATTAAAATTTTTGGGGGGGACAATGGCCCCCCCTAGCTTCAACATAGATCCACCCCTGGTTATGGATAGAAACAAAATATAACAGAAAATACATACAATTAGGACTCACGTGTAGAATACAACTTTCTCCACCTCGTAGTGCAGTTGAATTGTTCTTGAAAAATGCTCTAGACAATTGAGGGATCGACTCCTTAAATATCTATATTTTTGGGAAAAATTAATTTAATTGTTGGAAAGTGAATTCTTGATTGTTTTGAAATTAACTATTTTAGCTCTTTGAGAAAATCAATTAATCCTCTCAATTACTTGATTTTCCTTGACTCTTAATCTTCTCAAAAGCTCTTCTTTAAACAAAGCTCGTCTTACTTGATTTCTCAAACTTTTCTTGACTTGCTCAATAAAAACTTAATTAATTAACTAGATTCGCTAAGTAATCTTAATGGAAACTCGTCAACAGTCTCGAAAAAATTGAATTCTTAGATTGCTTAATGCTCGACTTAAAGGGATACTCAATTCTCGAATAACAACATGATTGAAGTGATTCTAGTTCCAATTCAATCTAGGACTCAACTCTAAAACTATTAATCAGATATTGACCACTTACTAGTGAAAACAGAAGACGGAAACTATTTCCAACAATAATATTTGAGTATTATGATTAACCAAAACATGTAAAATTATTATTTATTTTTATGTTAAAAGATAAATATATATGTTAATATATTATTTATATTAATATAAACGGATCAGCAGACTAGTGTATTGTTAAAATAAAGGTTTGAAAGAATGTTCCAAATGTTTTGAGAAATTCAAGGAGTATATGTAAGAGTATCAAGTCACTTCGATCTGATCGAAATGACGAATACCTCTTTAGAGAGTTTAGGGCATATTTATGAGAAGCTGGAATTGAGTCTCAATTGACTGCATCCGACACACTCCAACAGAACGATGTTGCGGGGTGAAGGAATACGACTCTTATGAAGATGATCGATAACGAGTTATTCAAGGAAGGTACGAAACATGATTCTCACTACAATACATGTAAACTTTTTTACCTCAATTAATAGATATCCCTAATTTAAAAAATCTTAAAAAATATCTTAGAGTCCTAGTACGCTCATTAGTTACCAAAATCCGCCGTGAGTCGTGATGTCCTCCTCCGGTAGAGGCGGCCGCCAGAGGAGAAACCGGAACACGGCTTCTCATCATCCCACGGCCTCCCCGAACGACGATCACCTCGGACAACCCATTCTTGATCGACATAACACACCATCCACTCCCGAGCCCTCTTCGAGTTCGAATCAAAACAACCGTGGGCGGGGCGCTCAATTTCGAAGGAATTCGAGGTGGGCACCGAGGAATCGAGTTGGGGAATCTCAAAATTCCGAGGCAAAAGTAGGAGGGGATGAGGCGGAATGTTGTAGCTCAAGCTCGCAAATTTATTCGGATGCTGGTGAAGTAAAGGTTGAAGAGTCGGGTTCGGGTTCGGGTTCGGATGTGGGTGCCAATAATGGTGAAACTGAGGGCTACAGAGCTGGCTGTGAAAGGGGACAGGAAACTACTGAAGAATTGGATTCGAGTAATGAGGATGAGACTCTCAAAAGATTGAAAGAGCTGCGCCTGAGTGTTGAAGAGCCCGAGTCGGAGGAGGAATTACTGGCCATCAATCAACAGCTGCAGGAGGATGAGGTATTATTATTTGATGATATTAATGCTTCTTGGAATATAATCAGGGCACTATGATTTGTAATTCCTTGTGTTATGTTGTGATCTAATCTTCAAGTTGATATCATCAGCCTTTTTAAAATAGTTGGGGTTCCCAGCAATTGATAGGTGGAATTTGCAGTAGTTCACATAAGAGGTTAGGGAAGAATATTGAGAAAGGGAACAAACAGGAGCAGCTTTGATAACCAATTCATATATTCATGCATGTCTTACTCATCCATTATGCTATTGATCAGCAAATTCTTAGAGTATCTGTTAAAATACGGAGTATTTCTTTACTTTATACGTGATTCATTATCTCCGTTTTAAGAAAATCTAGAAGTTGGTCTTTGTCTCGTTGGCCTCTTAACCATTTTTTCCTATTTTATTGCAGCTGTTGGCAATGGAATCTATTTATGGAGAAAAACTCTACATTCTAGAGAATCAGGGTGGCTTAAAGCGTTTCCAGGTAGTCGAGTAGTCAAGAACTTAACTTTTTCTTTTTCGAGAAGAAAAAGTATTAAATATTAGTTACATGATTAACAGGTTCATATTCATGTCGAAGTGCCCCAGGGATTGGGCATCACCACAACGTTTAACAACTCGAGTTTCGTTGAGAAGGGGAGAGAAGATGCTACCACCGATTTCTCCTACTCATTTCGAGTGGAATATCTGCCACCCATCTTATTGACTTGTTTATTACCTAAATCCTACCCGAGCAAATGTGCCCCCCAATTCACGATATATGTCCAGTGGTTGGAACATACTAACATATCCCCTCTTTGTAGTGAGCTCGATTCGATTTGGGCTCAAAATGCGGGTCAGGAGGTGATATACCAATGGGTGGATTGGTTGCATAATTGTACCCTCTCTTATCTTGGTTCTGATAGTGAGATACTTCTCGGACCCTATGGTGTAAGACATGATGATCAACTAGAAGATTAGGGCAATTTCGGGAAGTGCCTCCCCTGATATTGATATTCCTACTCTCAAGAGTTACAATGATGAAAAGTTGTATGAGATTTTTTGCAGAAACATCCAAGAATGCTGCATTTGTCTCAGCGAGTTTGCTGGTACGTCTTGTAGAATATTAACCTCTCGGGTGCTGCTTTTATTGAAGAAAAAAAAAACTACAGATTAAGTCCCCAAGCAATATTAATTACTGTAAACATTGAATTGTTTTTATTGAGGTATAATTCATTTCATCAGTTCACATCATCTAACTACTTCCGTTGTCATACTTGGGAGCTCTTTTTTCCCCTATTATTTATTAGTTTGAATCAGGTGAAGGTTTATTTGTTCATCTCATTATTTGGTTGTTTGCGACACCTAACGTATTTCTTTGCCTGTTGGAAATATAGCTATTCACTTCGAATGTATATGTATATTGGAAAGTGTTGCTTGTCAAGTTTAAAATAGGATTTAGTGTAATGAGACTGAGGTTTAGCTGACACGCATTCAATAAATCCTTTACAGTTTACAATAAGATCGACTTTCTACGAATCTTAAGATTAGACAGATCTATTTGATAAGAAAGACGTTTTTTTTTTCAAAAATTATTTGAGAAGTAGTAAGTATTTTAGTACTTTGATTCCTTCTGGTATCAATCATGGTGCATACCTCAATATCGATGTCTAAATTTATTCATGAAAAAACCTGATTAATTGACCTTTTTCCTTTCGATTAGGTTCGGAGTTTATCAAGCTGCCATGTGAGCACTTCTTTTGTGAGAAATGCTTGAAAAGCTTTACCAGCATTAATGTGATGGATGGAACAGTATTCAAGATCAAATGCCCGGAATCAAAATGTGATGGCATGATTCCGCCTGGTTTGATTAAACGGTTATTGGGAGAAAAGGAGTTTGAACGATGGGAGTCAATGTTGTTGGAGAAAACATTGGAATCCATGAAAGATGTGGTTTACTGTCCAAGATGTGATACGGCCTGTTTGGAGGACAAGGATCATCTTGCACAATGCTCAAAGTGTTATTACAGCTTCTGTTCACTCTGTATGGATAAACGTCATGTTGGGGTTCAATGCATGACACCTGAAAGCAAGTTAAAGGTTCTAGCGGTAATGTTCCAATCTTCATAGGTCTAACGTTCGTGTTTTCAGTTTGTTAGGGACCTTATTTAGGTTTATAGGTTTTGTTACTTAAATAAATTGTTTCAGCTGCGATTGGATTTTGAAAATTTGTTAAAAAATAAAAATTGTCCAATCGCAACATTAGTTAGCCGCAGCTTGATTTAAATGCACAAGTCCATTAAAATTAGATTTTTTAAGTCGGTACTTTTTCATTGGGATTTCGTGAGATGTGAAATATCCTTTAATTAGTCATTCAAAATCTGGGATCTTTGATCCTCTCTCATCACAGGAGCGACAAAAATCAACGTCTTCAATGAGATCAGATCAAAGGCGGCGCGAACAGGCGATGATCGATGACTTGCTTAGTCTCAAGGAGATCTTCGCCACCACAAAACAATGCCCTAATTGTAACTTAGCTATAGTTCGAACTGAAGGTTGCAATAGGATGGTTTGTCGTAATTGTGGCCAACATTTCTGCTACCGTTGTAGTAAGGCCATATCCGGATATGAACATTTCAGTTTTTTTTTTTTTTTTTTTTTTTTTTTTTTTTTTTTTTTTTTTTTTTTTTTTTTTTTTTTTTTTTTTTTTTGCTATCCTCCATTTTAACTCAAAATATGTTAATTTCGACCGTTATTTTACTGACCATCTTTTTATTTTCTTTCTCTTCTTTTGTTTTTTTGGTGGTGGGCAGGAATGGTGAGAGCTGTGAACTTTTCCCGGAAGAAGAAATTAAGAGTTGGAATGAAAGGATGAATGGACCAGTGGCGGCAGTGGGTGCACAGATGGCAGGATTTCATCCTATCGTCGTTCATCCTTGCCCTTGTTGTGGACAACACAATGACAAGGTATCATTATTCATTACATCCCGTTTTTATATATGCTCTTTGTTTTATACTTTAGATTACAGTCCCTAATACCTGATACATCTGTACGTGATATTATGGATGAATAGTGAATTAAAGTTGATATGATATGTGAGGGTGATTGATCGATTGATTTTATTTAATTATGTTGATAATATTGAGGAGAGTTGACGTGAAATGAGCAGATTGGAAAAGACAATCACATACAGTGTTGATCGTGCCAAAGCCATTACTGCTACGTGTGCAGGAAGAGAGTAAGGCTAGGTAGCATGAAGAGAGTATGGCGAAAATCGGAACATTTTGGTCCCAAGGGTTGCAAGCATCACACAGCTGGATAGTAAATGACTTGTCCGAACAAATTTTATTTGTTCTTTTCTTTTTTGGAATTTTCTTTTCCACATTTTATCATACACAGTTGCACGTACGAGTTATGACCGACCATCATTTTTCATCTTCATCGTTGAGGAATGAGGAATCTCTTGCTTTCTTGATGATATCGTGTCTTCTCGTGGGCAATTTCTTTGCAAAATCTTGCTCGGTTTCGTATGTTGCAATGGTTACATTGTTCTTTCATTATAAGCTACTAAGTAACATATTTTTCTAACAAATTTGAGTACTTTGGAATTGAATTGTCACTATCTAAAAAAATAAATTGTATAATATTCTATGTATGAGTACGCATTTTTATGAAGTATGACGGGTCGGGTTGTCTAACGGTTAGGCTGCATCGCTAAAAAAAATGTTGTGGTGGTGAAAGAATACATATATGATCGCCCATGAATGTTCGGTTCGATTTTCCTGTTGTGGTGGTGAAAGAATACATTTATGATCGCCCATGAATGTTCGGTTCGATTTTCCAGGTTTGCCATACGAGAAGTTGTATATTTCAACGTGATAAAAACAAATGCGATAAATAACCTTTTTTTTTTTTTAATTGAGAAATGCTAAAGTCTTGTTACTGAACCATTCCGTAGGGGTTTGTAACCGTTAGATCATCATATAACCGTCAAAAATAGTTGACCTAACGGTTACAAACCCGATGAAATAGTTCTAAAATAGTTGACCTAACGGTTACAAACCCGATGAAATAGTTCTGTAACGAGACCGTAACATCTTTTTTTTATTATTATTATATACCCAATGTACAAGACCAAATTTAAGTAACTATTTGTTTATTCTATATTGCTAGAAGCTTGACTGAGACATGGCTGACCTCAAAGACGGATTTGAATGGGGCCTAGGGGGCCCATGGGCCCCCCTGATTTTTTGAAAAAAAAAAATATATACATATATATAAGAAAATACAATATAAATATGTATAGAAATGTAAAAAAAATTACACATTAATAATTATTTTTCTATGCTATTTTAAATCAAATCAATAATATTATTTATTAATTGAGAAATGTATTAACAATCATTATATTTTAAATTTTTTTGATAAGTTTTGCAAAATATTTATAACAATTAACTCTTTCGATCTCTTAATAGTGAAACGATTTAGTGTTTATAAAACTCAGTATTTAGTTGAATTGTTACATTTTTTAATGTTGATTTTTTACTTCTTTTTTTTTTTTGTGTAATCACATATTTTTAATTTTTTTTTTTATTTTTCTTCTTATAAAATGCCCATTTGATAAGTTTTCATCAACAAAAATTATATGCAATGTGCTGCAAAAGTTTTATTTATTTATTTTTTGTTCTTAAAAAATTGTTCATTTGATAAACACAATGTGTTGCAAAAGTTTCTTCTTTATTTTTCTTAAATTATAAATACACGAAATCTCTTTTTTTTTGTTTATTTTTTAAAAGTTTGACTGTTTGAGGGTGATACAAATTATAGGCTTTAAAAATTTGATGATACACATATCGATATTTATATTTATTACATATATTTTTATATGAAATGAACGTTTCGACTTAAATTACAACCTCGTTATAACATTTAAAATTGAACCCCTGAATAAAATTTATAAATCCGTCATTGGCTGACCTAGTTGACCCAAACGCATTTGCATATTGACTAGTTGGGTCAAACTGATTGACTAATGAGTTTTTGTTTAAAACTTTTTTCCTTACATTATTTAATTGGAAAATAAGGAGGATTTGTGTACATTTATGTAGTAAACGCTAGCGGGAAAGCGGTCATGCACAATATGCCTATCCAAGTAAATTTAAATATTTATTTTAAATTACATTAAATATATTTTTAAATATTGGTTAAAAGATTTAAAATTTTGAACCAGTTCCCAGCCGATTTTTGGCCAGTTTTGGATGGTTCGCTAGCAATCGGTTCGCTCCATGAAACTAAATCAGTCTCGCTAGCAATCGATTCACTCCATAAAACTATCATCAGTTTGATAATCGATTCTCCTTGAACTGAAATCGACATTTCACACGAGAATGTATGATGTAAGATTGGTAAAAAAATTGTCTGGCCATATAATTTCCCTAGTAATTACATTAACTTCAATCATCTAATTTATGATTTATATACTAAAAAATTAGCATAAATTAATATAAAAACTTTACCATATAAATAATTATTATTTTGCTTAAAAAGTGTATCGGAGTGACCCTCTAGACAGCTTAGCATTTATATTTTTAATTTTTTATCCTTATTGAAACACTCCAAGAAAATGATGAAATTCCAACGAAAATCTATTCCAAAAGATTTATTCCAACGACAATTCCAACGGATATTTCAATATTATTATTTCATAATATGAAATTCCAACGACAATTCCAACGGAAATAATATTCCGTTGAAATGAGTTTTCCATTATGGAAATTCCAACAAAAATATTCCGTTGAAATGAGTTTTCCATTGGAATTTCTGTTGGATTCTGATGATTCCAACGGTGAATTTTCCAACGGGGGTGGAAATAAAAATTCCAACGGAATTTGCATATTTCAACGGAAATTCCTACGGTAAAAAGTCGTTGGAAATATGGCTGTTGGAATCATCAAATTCCATCTAAAATTCCAATGAAAAACACATTCCAGCGGAATATTTTTGTTGGAATTTCCGTTAGAATCATTCCAACGGAAGCTATACCATTGGAATATCCGTTGGAATTTTCATTGGAATATATTACCATAGGATTTTCCGTTGGAATATAACAATTATTTTGTAGTTAAACCAACCCTTGGAAACTGAATTAATGATTATTAATCCAACAAAAAGAAAATTAAAAAAAAAAAATAAAGATAAGATGGGATATAAAAAATATTGTTGGAAAAATACAGGATCTAAGGAAGTGGACGAGTAGGTGATAATAAAAAAGATTCAATCTCTCGATACGACAAAACACGATAAATTTTATTTCAAACTCAACTGAAGAACACAATAGATGAGGAGTCTTTTAAATAAGACTCCTAAACCCTACTCCTAACTTGTCAAACAAGATAAGATCTCTTTTTAAATATTCTAATACCAATAATCACAATAATAATTATTCTCTTACCAATTAAATACTAAACATAAAAGGAGTAGTAATAATAATATGACCAATAATAAAAGGACCAATAAATACATATCATAAATTAAAAATGCTAGACGATATCTTGTCTACATCAGCATTGCTACCTGCAACCCGTGGGACCAAAATGTTCCGATCTTTGCCTTACTCTCTCTCTGCACAGGTAGCAGTAATGTCTTTTGCACGCCCAACACGTTATGTGATTGCTTTTCCAAATCTGCCCATTTCACGCAATTCTCCTCAATATTATCAATATAATCAAATAATATCAAGTAACCATACTCACATATCATATCAACTTTAATTCACTCTTCATCCAATTCATCCAGTCACATAATTTCTTTCACGTACTTACACACACAAACTAGATGTATAAGGGACTGTAATCTAAAGTATAAAACAAAGAGCATAAATAAAAAATGGGATGTAATGAGTAATGATACCTTGACATTGTGTCGTCCACAACATGGGCAAGGATGAGTAGCATTAGGGTTCAATCTGGCCATCTGTGCACCCACTGCCACTGGTCCATTCGTCCTTTTATTCCAACTCTTGGTTTCTTCTTCCTTCTCGGCGTTCTCGCAGTTCTCACCATTCCTGCCCACCACCAAAAAAATAATAAAAAGAAAAAGAGAGAAAGAAAATAGAAAGATAGTCAGTAAAATCGATGACTATTTAACGGTCGGAATTATCATACACTGAGTTAAATGGTCGATAGCACGAAAAAAAAAAAACCTGAAATGGTCATATCCGGATATGGCCTTACTACAACGGTAGCAGAAATGTTGGCCACAATTACGACAAACCATACTATTGCAACCTACACTTCGAACTATAGCTAGGCTACAATTAGGGCATCGTTTTGTGGTGGCGAAAATCTCCTTGAGACTAAGCAAGTCATTGATCATTGCCTGTTCGTGCCACCTCATTGGTGACAATGAATTTTGTCGCTCCTGTGATGAGAGAGGAACAATTTTCGAATGATTAGTTAAAAGGATATTTCACATCTCACAAAATCCCAATGAAAACTGAAAACACGAACATTAGAGCTATGAGAAGATTGGAACATTACCGCTAGAACCTTTAACTTGGTTTCAGGTGTCGTGCATTCAGCCCCAACATGACGTTTATCCATACAGAGTGAACAGAAGCTATAATAACACTTTGAGCATTGTGCAAGATGATCCTTGTCCTCCAAACAGCCCGTTTCACATCTTGGACAGTAAACCACATCTTTCATGGATTCCAATGTTTTCTCCAACAACAATGACTCCCATCGTTCAAACTCTTTTTCTCCCAATAACCGTTTAATCAAACCAGGCGGAATCATGCCATCACATTTTGGTTCCGGGCATTTGATCTTGAATACTGTTCCATCCATCACATTAATGCTCGTAAAACTTTTCAAGCATTTCTCACAAAAGAAGTGCTCACATGGCAGCTTAATGAACTCCGAACCTAATGGAAAAAAAAAGGGTCAATAAATCAATGAAAAAATTAGACATATTAAAAAACAAGATGGCGTTAACTTGTCCTTAAATAGAATAGCAAAGTAGTCAGATTAATAAAGTCGATTGTAGACGACAAGTCGATATTGAGGTCTGCACCAGAAGGAATCAAAGTACTAAATTCTTACTACTTCTCAATTAATTTTTGATATAACGTCTTTCTTATCAAATACATCTGTCTAATCATACGATTCTCTAGAAAGTTGATCAAATTGTAAAGGATTTATTGAATGCATGTCAGCTAAACCTCAATCACATTACACAAAATCCTATTTTAAATCCAATTGACATATACATTCAAGTGAATAGCTATATTTCCAACAGGCGAAGAAATACGTTAGGTGTCGCAAACAACCAAATAATGAGATGAACAAATAAACCTTCACCTGATTCAAACTAATAAATAATAGGGGAAAAAAAGAGCTACCAAGAATGACAGTGATGATGTGAACTGATGAAATGAATTATACCTCAATAAAAACAATTCAATGTTTTCAGTAATTAATATTGCTTGGGGACTTAATCTGTAGTTTTTTTTTTATTTTTCTTCAATAAAAGCAGCACCCGAGAGGTTAATATTCTACAAGACTTACCAGCAAACTCGCTGAGACAAATGCAGCATTCTTGGATGTTTTTGCAAAAAATCTCATACAACTTTTCATCATTGTAACTCTTGAGAGTAGGAATATCGATATCAGGGGAGGCACTTCCCGAAATTGCCCTAATCTCTTCTTGTCGATCATCATGTCTTACACCATAGGGTCCAAGAAGTATCTCACTATCAAAACCAAGATAAGAGAGGGTACAATTATGCAACCAATCCACCCATTGGTATATCACCTCCTGACCCGCATTTTGAGCCCAAATCGAATCGAGCTCACTACAAAGACGGGATATGTTAGTATGTTCCAACCACTGGACATATATCGTGAATTGGGGGGCACATTTGCTCGGGTAGGATTTAGGTAATAAACAAGTCAATATGATTGGTGGCAGATATTCCACTCGAAATGAGTACGAGAAATCTGTGGTAGCATTTTCTCTCCCCTTCTCAACGAAACCTGAGTTGTTACACTTTGTGGTGATGCCCAATCCCTGGGGCACTTCGACATGAATATGAACCTGTTAATCATGTAACTAATATTTAATACTTTTTCTTCTCGAAAAAGAAAAAGTTAAGTTTTTGACTACTCGACTACCTGGAAACGCTTTAAGCCACCCTGATTCTCTAGAATGTAGAGTTTTTCTCCATAAATAGATTCCATTGCCAACAGCTGCAATAAAATAGGGAAAAATGGTTAAGAGGCCAACGAGACAAAGACCAACTTCTAGATTTTCTTAAAACGGAGATAATGAATGACATATAAAATGTAAACAAATACTCTACATTTTAACAGATACTCTAAGAATTTGCTGATCGATAGCATAATGGATGAGTAAGACATGCATGAATATATGAATTGCGTATCAAAGCTGCTCCTGTTTGTTCCCTTTCTCAATATTCTTCCCTAACCTCTTATATGAAAGTAAATGAAAAACAGGCACGTGTGTTGTGTGAACATGTACACAGGGGGGCATAAGACTGTGATTGGCTGCTGCAAATTCCACCCTATCAATTGCAGATGATATCAACTTGAAGATGCCTTTCTGGAGCTTAGTTCTTAACAGGAGGCGTACGTTAGACTTAGATCACAACATAACAAAAGAATTACAAATCATAGTGCCCAGATTATTTTCCAAGAAGCATTAATATCATCAAATGATAATACCTCATCCTCCTGCAGCTGTTGATTGATGGCCAGTAATTCCTCCTCTGACTCGGGCTCTTCAACACTCAGGCGCAGCTCTTTCAATCTTTTGAGAGTCTCATCCTCATTACCCGAATCCAATTCTTCAGTAGTTTCCTGTCCCCTTTCACAGTCAGCTCTGTAGCCCTCAGTTTCACCATTATTGGCACCCACATCCGAAACCGAACCCGAACCCGAACCCGACTCTTCAACCTTTACTTCACCAGCATCCGAATAAATTTGCGAGCTTGAGCTACAACATTCCGCCTCATCCCCTCCTACTTTTTCCTCGGACTTGTGAGATTCCCCAACTCGATTCCTCGGTGCCCACCTCGAATTCCTTCGAAATTGAGCGCCCCGCCCACGGTTGTTTTGATTCGAACTCGAAGAGGGCTCGGGAGTGGATGGTGTGTTATGTCGATCAAGAATGGGTTGTCCGAGGTGATCGTCGTTCGGGGAGGCCGTGGGATGATGAGAAGTCGTGTTCCGGTTTCTCCTGTGGTGGTCGCCTCTACCGGAGGAGGACATCACGACTCACGGCGGATTTGGAGTTGTTTGGGTCGCAACAGAACTGTGAAGCTGCTTGTCGTGATGAAGGGTTTAGGTTTTATTGTGGAAGCACAAATTTTCTTGAGATTGTAGCATGCAAAACTTTGGCAGGACTCCGTAATTCGATTTTTTATTTTTTTATTTTATTTTTTGGTACAATGCGTAATTCGATTTTGATAACTAACTAGTGTTAATTAATAAAAATAAATAAATAAATAAATATAAAGAAAACTAATCAGTGTTAAACCGTGGGATGCACCGGAAATATGGTCCAATAAAAAAGTATTTTAGTAAGTTATGAAATAATTAAAAGGTTTAGAAGCTCCAAGACTCGACTTTTGATTTTTTTCAGCTATTATGAATGTTTCATGCCTCTTAATCCGATTTTGTTCGAGCATGCTTCACGAAAGTGAGTACTTAGTTTTAAGATTCATCACTTTGAAATTGTCTATTTTTTAATTGAGAATTTTTTTGCGGTAAATTTAGCGTCTCAGACAGAGTTTGAGTTGAGAAATTTTGAGTTTGTTAAAGTTATTAACTTTCATTTTAATTTTCTTATATAAGGTGATTAGTTAGTTAGTTTTTGGGCATATCAAGAAAAAGTCGGGACTTTGGTAGAAGATTGATTATTTAGGAATTGAATGTTCGAATTTAGCTACTATTTATGTTAATGTTTGCATGTTTGATTTGTTGTTTTCGTTTTATTCGTGCGTTGGATGTTTTAAGTTTTAAAGTTGGAAGATTTAGTTAATTGTCTTTAATTTCCTAGTTGATTTAGTTTAAAATCAATCCAAAAATCGAGTTAAAATTTTTAGGACTTGTTTGCTTTACCCTTTTTGTGTTCGGCAACTTACAACTGAGACTAGCTTTGCATAGCCTCCTTGAGAGACAACGATTACTCGATTAAAAATCAATTGCAAAAATATTACTCAACATTAAGGTATACTAAATTTGAAATAATTAATGCTTTATCAACCTAATCATTTTTACCAAGTCATTATATTATTATATCGATCTATTTACTCAATCATTATATTATATTTCTATTTAATCATATTATATTACGCATAATTTAGAATCTTATTATATAGAATAAATATATTATTTATAATTTAGAATATATTTCTGTATTATTATATTATTTTTGTCTTATAAAATATTTTCTTAATTACATTGTTTATAATTTATAATCTATATACTTAATTATTATAATATTTATAGATAAAATCTATATAATTTATTATTATATTATTTATAATTCAGAATCAATATACTTAACTATTATATTATTTTTTGTTATATTTTAAGATATAAATAAATCAAATCACACTAAAATGCCCAGTAACTCAGTTAGTGATAGTTACTTTTTATAACCCAAAGGTTGTAGGTTCAATCCCCACTATTGGTTAAAATTCGTTTTATATAAGTCATCTACAAGAATATGAAGATCAATAATGGAATCATCATATAAATTGAAATAATCATGTCCAAACAAAAAATAAATAACTTATGAACTCTATAAGGAAAAACCAATTTATTTATCAATTGGATTTGTTATGACTTCTTTTAACACTTGTGAGATTTCAAAAATAAATACAGATACGAAATCAAACACCAAACCCCACATCCAGATATGAGATTTTCGAAGATCCTAGTTAAATAAAAAAATCTTAATTAGAAGCTTCGGATTTTAAAATCTTAAAATGCCATTCAATATTTCAAAGAATAATATACTTCTCCTCAGTTCAACTTTTGTAAATCAATGTAAAATACACATAGATTGCATAGAGAAAAAGCACGAAGAAAAAAGCTTTGAATTACAAATCCATATTGAAACAAAACTCAAAATATATTTAGATCCAAACCTCAAAGAGTCATGTCTCATGCAACTTCACAACTGTTGCATCTTCTCATTTTTCAATGACTGTCAACTCCTTGGTGACCACAAAACTCCAGTGATTGCTCAATTTTATGAAATTTTCAAAATGTTGAAACCATAGATCTTCATGAGCTCTTAAATAGGGTCGTGGATAAACGAATATGAGATCTCTATGAGTTTTCTTTCTCAAATGGTGTAACATGAATATTGAGTATATGTAATATGAGAAAACATTATCAGGATTCTAAATTGAAATAACATTAAGATTCTACCCAAAAAAAAATCAAGATTTTTAAGTTTAATATTGAGATTGACCGACAGTTGCAAGAGAATCTCAAAATACCGAAAGTTCGATAATGATTGTGCATGCGAACATTCTTTAGGAAGTCCACATGAGCAAAACCGAGCCCAATTTAAACCTAACATATGGAATTGCAAACATACTGAAAAGTCATTTATTAATATGCAAACTTAAGAAAATTTTGCTTAATTTGCAATTTATGAAAGTGTCATAATTTTCCCTGCAATTAAGTTTAATTAAATGCAATTGTGCTCATCTATCACGATGGATACTTGTTAATTTGTCAACTATCTGACGTGGCAGGAAATTAGTATATCATACTAGGAGTGTATAGATATTAAACTTTATTTAGTTAGTGTATTTATTTATTTTTTTGTCATAAATTCAAAATAAATAAGATTTTAGTTAATAAAATAAATATTTTTATTTTCCACCAAGTCAAATATTAGTATCATGCAATGAGATTGTATAAAATTTTGAAGGAACATTAAAATCAGCATCTTATTTTTCAAGACACTCTCTTTTTTACTTATAAATAGGGTTCTCCTTAAAGCCAAAATCTCATCGCACAATTCAAAAGTCAAGTTCAAGATCCCTCAAGAATTTTCTTGAAGATCCATGGTATTTATGATGATTCGAAGGCTTTCTTGGAGATCAAGAGAATTCAAGTTGAAGACTGAAGTTTAAACTAGAATCAAATCTTTGAGCCTCCATGTTACGTTGACAATTTAACGTGGAAGAAGACCAAAAAGAAGAAAAGGAAACATTGGTTCCTCTCTAGTAAGTGGAGACAAAATCCATGAAGAACAACGACGTTCAGTTCAAGCTTCATTGTGGCACTCAAACAATATAGTGTTCCATCCGAGAAAAAAAGCTTTCAAGCCCTTGAATTAGTGTTATTGAACTCCAAATGAATATTCAAGGATGATCCAACCATTTGATTTGGGAATAAGTCGTTCGACCTCCAATGCAACGTTGATCAAATTCAGGCACAATCATGAAGGAGATCCAAACGACGAATCCACTTCAAAGGTCCAACTCCAAATTTTGAGAAGAAAATAATTAAAGAAGACATATATAAAGATTGTACCCACAAAATCGTTAGGTTCAACAAAATTCAGATTGTACAAATTTTTTGTGTTTCTTTTCTTTTATTTGAAATGAAAGTTTCATGAACTAAAACACATAATTACAATCGGCTAAGTAGTCGGAATAAGAGGATTACCCAAGGTAGCCTAGATACTACAACACACACTACAAGACTAAAAGCAAAAATAAAAATCTCCCTACATGAGAATACACAAGTTCTCCACAAGAGAATAACATGAGCTTCCTACAGTAGAATAACACGCTCCAGAAGTAGAGAAAAAAA